CCCTCCCCCCTGCCATAATCTCTTGAGTTTTCAGATTTTTTTTTTATTTCCTTACATATCAACCTTTTCTCCACTATAGCTTCTCTACAGCACCACTCAGTTTTATTTTTTCATTGCAGCAGTTAAGCTGCACTCCTGATGCAGTATTTCTAAAATGCCTCTATGTTTTTGGACTGCTCTTTTCTTTGGGTTTGTTTGTTTGGGTTTTTTTGTTTTAAACTCACAATGTCTCAATTTTCATGTAGTTACCCTTCCTTGGATCCGCAAGCCAAATTTGTCTGACACGTTCATTCCCACTACCCTAAACTTTTAACGGACTCCCCAAGGAAGCATGCGTTTGGGGGGGTTATTTGGTGGGGACTTTTACTACAAATCAGAGACCAGCCATATTCAGGATTTCACTTCCAGCTAAAATGTTGGCCTGACCCATACAAACAAAAATTTCCTAGACCGCCAAACAATAATCCTACACATCAAGCGACAAGCACGACTTCCACAACATCCCTACTACCAGAGCTTACAATCCAATATAACCTCCCAGGCAAAACACCTTCTCGGGTACATTGTAGCAGCACCTACAAACTGCAAGAAGAGTATCTAAGGCAGGAATTGCAAGTTGCTGACAAAGTAACAAATCTAGGATAGTTTCCCTTTTTTTTTTTTTTTTGACACTTTGTCTATAAATACGAATAACTGATTTCTATCTGAGAACCTATCTACACCCTTTTCCTCAGAAGGGAAACAACTGGAGCCAGAACTTTTCTAAGAATCTTCACCGTCCAAGTAACCCAAAGGGAAGAACCCTTCGCTGGGAGTCGTCCCACGCCACCGCAAGGATGCCTCGATGAAGTCTGTACAGCCAAAGCAATTTGCCCTTCACAACCAGCCAGTCTCCCACTGCAGCACAGGATCATTCTGCACATAACAATAGGCACCTTTACCTAGAAGTCCAAATGCAGAATGGGTTTTCAAACTCCTTCCCCCCCCCCCCCCGCCATAGTAGTAAACCTCTTTTTTTCTCACGAGGTACTATTAGACTATTTCTATTGCCCTGATGTCCAGAAAGGAATTTGCACAGGCAGATGGAAGGAGGTCCCTGAAAAAAGAAAGAAGAGGTACAGTACTGCAAGATTGTGTTACCAATCTACTAACTGGAGGTGAACGGCTGCTTCACAGGTTACAATAAAAAGCAACTTCCAAAGCATTCCCTGACAGCAGTAAGACGTGCAACCATTTTGTCATTTTCACAGTTTCCAGAATCTTTGCTTTAATTTTGTGGATTTCTTAAGCCGCTATAATGAATGAGATTGTCTCAGAAATAGCAGCGGTCTTTTTTTACCAGAGAAGAGATTTGGGGGGGTACCGGGTGACAAAAGAAGAGGGTAAGTACAGCAAAAGGAAGACAAGACAGACAAAGTTTTTAAAGAAATTCACTAGTTATCAGGAGCATTGTATTACATCTTGCTGTAAGATTTTCTAAGTATTAGAGCTTGCTACAGAAGCACGACAGAGAGCTGGTTCTGACTGCCTACTCCTCCAATTCAATTCATTTATTTAACACCTTGAAAGAAAAATAGGTATAAATGAAAGGTTGACAGCAGCTCCAAACAAGTTGCTGCTTTAGGTTCTACCACACACATGCAAAGTCCTCCCCCAATAATATATTTATGCTAATCTTATGAAGGTAGAGCTGCAAGTCCAGTGACCATGACAAAAAAAAACCCAAAACAACAACAACAAACCAAAAACCCCCAATCAGGTACTCTGTTTGAACACTTTCCAGGTTCCTATTACATAAGGACAGTACAGTAAGTCCAGTTACGCAAGTCGTAAGTCTGCATAAAAATCTCCGAAGGATTCCACGCTTGCATTTGAGCAAGTTTGAGGCCCCTAAGTCTGGAGCTTGAGAACCACCGCATTTCACTACTAACGCCTTCCTATAAAAACATCACCTAAAATCTTTGTAATAGGGACTGCAAATACAACACTTGCACTGAGGAACCAGGATCATTCTTAGCGCTACGCTTCTCTTGAGGTACGCGCCAAATGAAAACAGTCGGTTTTGTCTCATTTTTATTAAGAAACACTAGCGACTTCGCAAAGCTACCAACAAACTAAGGCACCGAAACCGTTTTATTTCCTCCTCGACCCGCAACCTTGGCTTGCTCGGTCTAGCGCACTAAAGGAAACCAGAGGCTGCCTTTCTGCTCGTACAAAAGCAGAAGTCTCTTTCAAAGGACCAGAAGGCAGAACAGCAGCTCTTCTTCCGACCGAAAGCGCTAGCTCACCACCACACACCTGGACCGCTCGCGGTGCTTTCACAGCCGTCAGAAAACACCTCGCGATAAATTTCACGCCGGTAATTTTCGCTTTGTTTTTTTTTTTTTTTTTTATTTTTTGTCGAAGTGAAGAACTGCAAAGGCCACGACCTATGCTACTCAACCTTCCTCTCCGGGGCTCGTGATCGGAGCCCGTTCTGGGAAGTAAGCGTCTTTAAGCAGGAGCCTCCCTTCGCTCCCCCTTCGCCACCGGCGCCCACGTTAAAAAAGCAGAAATTGCCCAAGCAGCAACGCAGAAAGGAGAGAGAGCTCGGCGCCGGAAAGGCAGCG